CCTCGGATCAAGTTTTTCGAAATCTCCAATTCCCCGGATCAAGTTTTTTGGGGACCCCCTCCTTTCACCCCCCATCCCCAAATTTTCTCGATAATACAAGTTTTTGGATACTCCCCCTATGGGGTTCTTTAAATATCAAAGTCTCCAAACTCTTGGATCAAATTTTTGGATTCCCCTCTCACTTTCACTCCCCCCAAATTTCTCGAAATACCCAAACTCCATCTCCTTGGATCAAGTTTTTGGATTCCCTCTGGGGTTAAGCATCAAATGAATCCTCCTATGGGCATGCATACCAGTCTAATAAGGGTGTTTACTCGACGGTCATGACGTCATTTTTCCTCTCATTAAGTTAATGAACTGAAAGGACCCCACGCACACACAAGCTGAATCATGTCGAACTTTCAGTTCATTCAAGTTAATAAGGGGATATAGTACCTACATCATAGGGAAAACATTTTCATCATCAGAAAGACACATTTTTCGTTAATACCCACAATTTCTTTACAACACAAGTCTAGACATTTTTGTAACTATTTCATCTCAGGTCACCCCCCCCACGAAGTAACCTCCTCCCCACTCCCAAACCCTCACACTCCAACCAACACCTCACAATTTTCACTCATAACCCCCAATTTTTCTCGTTTTAACCCTTTTAGTTCATTAAAGTGGGACACATGCATCAGAAAGTCACCGCATCCACTTTCGTTAAATTCACTACTCACAATTTTACATATTACGAAGTTAAATACGCACTTTTACTTTGAACATCTTCAAAAACACTCTCATAAATCATTGAATACTCACAAAAAATACCTTTATACATTTCCAAACAACACTGAAATACTCCAAAAACATCATTCGAACACCCCCAAATCACCTCTGAATACTCCCAGAACACCTTCATAAGTACTCTTGCACATCATTTGAACACCTTCATAAGTACTCTCATAATCATTTGTACACCTTCAATACACCTTTGAATACTCACATAAACACCCTTGAACACCTTCAAAACACCTTCAAAGCACTCTCATAATCATTTGAACACACTCAAAACACCTTTGAACACCTTTGAACATTTCCAAACAACACCATTTGAGTACTCCCAATTACACCACTGAATACTACTAAAACACCGCTGAATTCAATCAAAACACCCTTCAACACCTTCAAACACCCTTGAACACCTTCAAAACACCTTTGAATAACCTCAAAACACCTTTGATCACCTTCAAAACACCCTTGAACACCTTCAAAACACCCTTGAACACCTTCAAAACACTCTTGAACACCTTCAAAAACACTCTTCAACACCTTCAAACACCCTTGAACACCTTCAAAACACCTTTGAATATCGTTTTAAACTAATTTCATCACAACCCACTTATATCATCTTTTTATCGGTAACTCTAATTCGACTACACTACCCTCATCAATTACCAACAAATTTTACTCGTTTTAACCCTTTTAGTTCATTAAAGTTAATAAGGGGACACATCACTGTAACCAAGATATTCACACACACACACACACACACACACACACACACACACACACACACACACACACACACACACACACACACACACACACCACAACACACGCACCTAACCTAACCTAACCTATCCTAACCTAACATACCCTAACCTAACTTTTCCTAACCTAGCCAAAACCTAACCTAACCGAACCTATCCAAACCTAACCTAACCTAACCTAACCTAACCTACCTAACCTAACCAAACCCTAACCTAACCTAACCGAACCTAACCTTACCTAACATAACCTAACCTAACCTTACCTAACATAACCTAACCTAACCTTACCACTTAACCTAACTTAACCTAACCTAACCTAACCTACCTAACCTAACCTAACCTAACCTATCCTAACCTAACCTAACCGAACCTAACCTTACCTAGCCTAACCTAACCTAACCTTACCTAACATAACATAACCTAACCTAACCTAACCTAACCTAGCCTAACCGAACCTAACCTTACCTAACCTAACCTAACCGAACCTAACCTATCCTAACTTAACCTAACCTAACCTAGCCGAACCTATCCTAACCTAACCTATCCTAACCTAACTTAACATAACCTAACCTAACCTATCCTAACCTAGCCTAACCTAACCTAACCTAGCCTAACCTAACTTAACCTAACCTAACCTATCCTAACCCTAGCCTAAACCTAACCTAACCTGCCTAAAAAAACCTACCTAACCTAACCTAGCCTAACCTAACCTTCCCTAACATAACCTAACCTAACCTAACTTAACCTAACCTAACCTAGCCGAACCTAGCCTAACCTAACTTAACCTAACCTAACCTATCCTAACCTAACCTAACCTAACCTTACCTAACATAACCTAACCTATAACCTATCTTAACCTAACCCAACCTAGCCGAACCTATCCTAACCTAACCTAAAATATATTGGAACACCCCCAAAATACATTAGAGTACTCCAGAATTACTTTGAACGACTCCATTTTGGATATTTCCAAATTAGTTTTGAAAACTTTATCGTAAAATCGAACATTATTTTCTTGTTGGTAAAACACACTCAATGGTAGAAATATTTACTCGATTTCCGAATAGAAGCACTGTCCTCGCTCTGAGAGACTCATTGTGGGTCACCCCAACACATGGTGTAATGCGCTTCACACCTAAGGTAGATTTAAGATAATCATGAACACCTGGATCAACTCAGGACAGACAGGCGCCATGAAATTGCGGTTCAAAACCCCCAAAGGGTAGAACATATCACCTGCGTCAACTCAGGACAGCCAGGCGCCATGAAATGCGGGTAACATCCAAGATAGAATATAATACAAGTATATCCTTACTGAAACACCTAGGTCAATCGTCACCCTAAAGCAACTAATTTTGGTGAGGTCATTACTTTTTTAATTCATTTTAAAATAATAAGGGGAAGATTGAGATATAACATTTGTATTCTACCTCAATACATTTTTTTTCATGGTAAGGTTTGATTTAAAACTTCATCATGTCTTAAAAATTTTTATTAAACATTTCTCTTTTTAATGAATGAAAACATATTAATCTTGGTGTAACAACACGATCTAAACATCATAAATCCTCCTCTCTAAGTCTTGTTCTTCCAAGTCCCGTCACATCGGTACCTGTAATTTTAATATATTTCATTAGCATATAATGTGGAAAAAATTTGCACCATCACCTGTAAAAGATATAACCAACTAAAAGTTACTTATTTTTTCACTATCCCAAGCATATTCTTCTCGTTAACTTAAATATCTCCCCATTCATGACTTAAAAAAAGCATGATCGTGATGTAAGTATTATGGTAGACATGATTCTCGGTGTTCAGGTAGAGAAAGTCGAAAAAGGTAAGTGTTACATTTTCATGAAGAGATAAATATGAGTTATTAATTCAAATATATCTCTCTTCAAGTTATAATTACTTCCTCATAATAATTTAAATGAATTAATCCTTCCTCATATTATTTAAAATGAATTAATCCACTGATACAAGGTAAATAATTTTGCTTACCTTTATATGTTCTCACACATTAGCTCATGTTTTTAATATATTGTTTAATATCTGTGAAAAGTTCTCTCCAAATTAATTTCCACTTCTTTGTGTTGTACCATCTATGCAAAATACACAGATTAAAACTGTCGATTAAATATTTGACGACAAAGTTTTCAGGTATATTTTTTTCCCCAAAATATAATATACCAGATCATCACTCCACTCCGTTGCCATTTCATCAATGAATTTATGTGAATCAAGTTCATTTTCTAACCAATTTTTAACTCGCTGAAAATTCTTTTCACTCAATTTTTCCCACCATCTTCTTTAAGAGTTGATTGGCAGTGTTGCAAAATTCCAACCAAGGAAGATCTTTCACCATTTCACAAATAACAATGAAGTCGGCAAGTTTCCCCATATTAGATGCTTTCTATGCGGGTTCCGGACAATGTCTGGGGTGACTTACACACAACACTCTCCCATACACATAAAGAGTTGCTAAATAGTATTAAATGAAAAATTTCATTAAACTACCAAAAACTAGGATCAGCCATTTCAAAATCCATTTCTTAATTAATTTTTTTGGGCTTTGGTATAATAAAAGTTTGAGATAAATGACTACTCCTTCCCCATTCTCGTAACAATAAATTTTCCAATATTTCTTCGCTCCATCGTTGAGTCATTTCTCGTACCTCAGCTACAATCTCTTCTTTTGAGAGAACAGGTTCCGCATCAACTCTTTTTTGAATGGGTTCGACTCTTTAATTGTATATAACTTTTTCAAATAAACACCGCACTAGTATGTTTTGTCGCAACCACCTCCATATTTCTTCTTCAAGTGATTCCTTACCATTTCACTCCAAATATTTATACCAAAAATTTCAATCGTTGTCATCACGATTATTTTTTTTTTTTTAATCCCAAATACTCATTACAGGGGATTTCTTCAAAGCATATATATTACCCATTTCAAATTGTGATCCCCTTATTAACTTTAATGAACTAAAAGTGTTAACTTTCATTATTTTTCAGTAAAAAAGATTTATTCAGACAATATTTTTGGCAACACATGCTTGTGACGTCACTATCCAGCAACGTGTTAAAACAGGTTAGAACATCTTCCCTTATTATTTAAAATAAACTAAAAGCAAGACGTCACGATACTCATTGAACAATTATCTTACCCCAAACACTTTTAGTTCATTTAAGTTAACAATGGGAAAGTTCTTGCATTTCCAAGTATGCACCATCGGTATAGTAATAACATAATACCAAATTGAAGTAAGTTATGATCCCCTTCCTGTATGACACTAACTCGGGGTGTTTCATTCACCTATCGCCCATGGTGATGCCACGTAGTGTTTTTTCATGGAACAAATTTCTCTACACATATAGTTATAAAAAAAACTACTAACATGTCAACCCTCGCGGTGAAAAGAGTATAAGAAGACACGTCCATATTGAGTTACAAGAGTATTTAGATGAAGACGTGGAAGTTACATGTGAAAAAATTTGTTACAGAAGCAAGTGTCTACACACCACTGAACTGATAAAGAAATGATTAATTCGATAGAAGACCTTGATCAGTCACCTTCCTTCGTTTTGGAGGGTTGTGATCAATATCTCACCGATAAAGAAATGCTTATAGCAATGGAAGATTTTGAACGTGAGTTTTTTAATGAGATATTAATGAGTAAAATTCACCCACATTGTAATTTTTAGAAATTCTAATGAGAAATATTTTTTCATTTGTTGTGTAACAAACTTAATTTTTGGGATATAATACTAATATTTTATCAAAATTGCAGGTAAAGAAGCAACAAAAGATGAAGAAAAATATCTTTTGGTAATGCAAGGGAATATTACAAAAGATTTTAGTGGCAGTGATAAAATTCTTTTAGTACAACAAGCAAATTGTTGCGCTGTTAAATTGAAAAAGGGAGGTCTTGCTGATGCTTTAAGTCAGGTTTTACCACTTAGCAATCCTTATTTATTTAGATCACCTGGATGTCAAAAAAGCAAATCTAGCTAGTGAAGTCACTCGGGATAAATTTGGAAGCATAAAATTTGTAAATAATGGAAAAAATAACCCCATGATTGTTAATATGTTCGCACAGTATGCGATGGGGCCTCCACATAAGTATTATATGAACTGTAAAGTTGATAAGACCTACTATAATACATGCAAATATTTAGATACAAAGAAAGGTCGTGAGATTATATTCAAAGAGTGCATGAATGAACTTGTTAAGTGGTTATTAACAGATCCCAACGGGATATAATGGAAAAAGTCGTGTTTCCAGAAGGGAAATTTGGGGTGTGCTTCAGCCGGAGGTGATTGCATGCATATCTTAAAATCATTCTTGATTTTGCAAAGGAATTAAAAAAACGTCGTAGAAATTTTATCATTATTGTAAAAAAATGCCAAAAAAAAATATCTCTATAATACTTTTTTTGTTTTATTCACCAGCATTTTAGTTCATTTAAGTTAACAAGGGAAAGTTCTTGATTTTGGCAAAGGAATTAAAAAAAAACGTCATAGAAATATTGTTATCATTATTGTAAAATATGTAAAATAAAATATCTCTATAATACTTTTTTATTCACCAGCAGTCAAAAAACCTTATTAGGCAACGAATAGAGATCATACGTCTGGCAGGAACGGTGCTGAGTATAAAAATCTCTGTTCTCTGATGGTCGTGCATTAGTACCTCTTCCAGCAGGGTGCGACTAACCAGATCAAGAAATGGAGACAGCCAATAGGATGGAAAAATATTTTAAAAATTTAAGAAGGAAAATTTACGATGAAAAATATTGTCGTGACAACGTCCCGCATTGTTTTTCATTGTAATTGTGTTTTCTATAAAAGGATATGGTGCAAGTTATTATTTGGGTAAGAAAAATCCTTATGCTGATGTGTATCGAAGTAGAGAACCATTATTTAATCTTAGAAGATGCAGAGTTGAAGATCGTGATGCTCCTGGAAATGTTATCGAGTTTGAACTTCACCGGATCAAAGAAAATTGAATCTTCCTTATTTAGCAGCCATAATAAGCCAATTTGGTATTGCTGGACCCTTGGAGGAAAATACCATTCTCCACAAAAATTGAAAAAAACAAGAGATGCTCATTTTGGGGTATGGTTTAAAGAAAGATACTATCGCAGACAGAATAAGATAATTTCAAGGAATCCATTGAGAGACTCATAAAAAGTGTGAAAGACAATAAAAATATACGCGAGGTTTTTCTTTCTGAAAGGGTTTTGGGGGGTGTGAAACTTCAAATGATTATATCTGGAAAAACGCACTATAAACCTATACTCGAAGATATGATAATGAAATTTAAGGAAGAAGGTATTCGATCAACCATGGTTGTCAAAGAAGAAATGAAAAACATTAACCAAGGACAAGAATTAGAAGATGATTCGAAGTTATTGTCTTCTAGAGTTGAAGGAAGTGCTTGGTATCCCTCATGAGGTAAGCAAAATTATTTACCTTGTATCAGTGGATTAATTCATTTTAAATAATATGAGGAAGGATTAATTCATTTAAATTATTATGAGGAAGTAATTATAACTTGAAGAGAGATATATTTGAATTAATAACTCATATTTATCTCTTCATGAAAATGTAACACTTACCTTTTTCGACTTTCTCTACCTGAACACCGAGAATCATGTCTACCATAATACTTACATCACGATCATGCTTTTTTTAAGTCATGAATGGGGAGATATTTAAGTTAACGAGAAGAATATGCTTGGGATAGTGAAAAAATAAGTAACTTTTAGTTGGTTATATCTTTTACAGGTGATGGTGCAAATTTCTCCACATTATATGCTAATGAAATATATTAAAATTTACAGGTACCGATGTGACGGGACTTGGAAGAACAAGACTTAGAGAGGAGGATTTATGATGTTTAGATCGTGTTGTTACACCAAGATTAATATGTTTTCATTCATTAAAAAGAGAAATGTTTAATAAAAATTTTTAAGACATGATGAAGTTTTAAATCAAACCTTACCATGAAAAAAATGTATTGAGGTAGAATACAAATGTTATATCTCAATCTTCCCCTTTTTTATTTTAAATGAATTAAAAAGTAATGACCTCACCAAAAATTTGTTGCTTAGGGTGACGATTGACCTAGGTGTTTTCAGTAAGGATATCTTGTATTATATTCTATCTTGGATGTACGCATTTCATGGCGCCTGGCTGTCCTGAGTTGACGCAGGTGTATTTTAACCTTGGTGTGAACCGCATTACATGGCGCCTGTCTGTCCTGAGTTGATCCAGGTGTTCATGATTATCTTAAATCTACCTTAGGTGTGAAGCGCATTACACCATGTGTTGGGGTGACCCACAATGAGTCTCTCAGAGCGAGGACAGTGCTTCTATTCGGAAATCGAGTAAATATTTCTACCATTGAGTGTGTTTTACCAACAAGAAAATAATGTTCGATTTTACGATAAAGTTTTCAAAACTAATTTGGAAATATCCAAAATGGAGTCGTTCAAAGTAATTCTGGAGTACTCAAATGTATTTTTTGGGGGTGTTCCAATATATTTTAGGTTAGGTTAGGATAGGTTCGGCTAGGTTGGGTTAGGTTAAGATAGGTTAGGTTAGGTTATGTTAGGTAAGGTTAGGTTAGGTTAGGTTAGGATAGGTTAGGTTAGGTTAAGTTAGGTTAGGCTAGGTTTTGGCTAGGTTAGGTTAGGTTAAGTTAGGTTAGGTTTTGGTTATTTTAGGTAAGGTTAGGGTTTGGCTAGGTTAGGTTAGGTTAGGTTAGGTTAGCTAGGTTAGGTTAGGGTTTGGCTAGGTTAGGATAGGTTAGGTTAGGTTAAGTTAGGTTAGGCTAGGTTGGTTAGGTTAGGCTAGGTTAGGATAGGGTTAGGTTAGGTTTTTGTTAAGTTAGGTTAGGATAGGTTAGGTTAGGATAGGTTCGGCTAGGTAGGTTAGGTTAAGTTAGGATAGTTAGGTTCGGTTAGGTTAGGTTAGGGAAAGGGTTTGGTTCGGTTAGGCTAGGTTTGGTTAGGTTAGGTTAGGTTATGTTATGTTAGGTAAGGTTAGGTTAGGTTAGGCTAGGTAAGGTTAGGTTCGGTTAGGTTAGGTTAGGATAGGTTAGGTTAGGTTAGGTTTTGGGAGGTTAGGTTAGGTTGGTTAAGTTAGGTTTAATGGTAAGGTTAGGTTAGGTTATTTAGGTAAGGTAGGTTAGGTTATGTTAGGTAAGGTTAGGTTCGGTTAGGTTAGGTTAGGTTAGGGTTTGGTTAGGTAGGTTAGGTTTGGTTAGGTTAGGTTTAGGTTAGGATAGGTTCGGTTTGGTTAGGTTAGGCTAGGTTAGGAAAAGTTAGGTTAGGGTATGTTAGGTTAGGATAGGTTAGGTTAAAGGGTTTGGTGCGTGTGTGTGTTTTGTGTGTGTGTGTGTGTGTGTGTGTGTGTGTTGTGTGTGTGTGTGTGTGTGTGTGTGTGTGTGTGTGTGTGTGGTGTGAATATCTTTGGGTTTCAGTGATGTGTCCCCTTATTAACTTTAATGAACTAAAAGGGTTAAACGAGTAAAAAATTTGTTGGTAATTGATGAGGGTAGTGTAGTCGAATTAGAGGTTACCGATAAAAGATGATATAAGTGGTTGTGATGAAATTAGTTTAAAACGATATTCAAAGGTGTTTTGAAGGTGTTCAAGGGTGTTTTGAAGGTGTTGAAGAGTGTTTTTGAAGGTGTTCAAGAGTGTTTTGAAGGTGTTCAAGGGTGTTTTGAAGGTGTTCAAGGGTGTTTTGAAGGTGATCAAAGGTGTTTTGAGGTTATTCAAAGGTGTTTTGAAGGTGTTCAAGGGTGTTTGAAGGTGTTGAAGGGTGTTTTGATTGAATTCAGCGGTGTTTTAGTAGTATTCAGTGGTGTAATTGGGAGTACTCAAATGGTGTTGTTTGGAAATGTTCAAAGGTGTTCAAAGGTGTTTTGAGTGTGTTCAAATGATTATGAGAGTGCTTTGAAGGTGTTTTGAAGGTGTTCAAGGGTGTTTATGTGAGTATTCAAAGGTGTTTTTGAAGGTGTACAAATGATTTTTGAAGTACTTATGAGGTGTTCAAATGATGTGCAAGAGTACTTATGAAGGTTTTTCTGGAGTATTCAGAGGTGATTGGGGGGGTTCGAATGATGTTTTTGGAGTATTTCAGTGTTGTTTGGAAATGTATATTTTGTGAGTATTCAATGATTTATGAGAGTGTTTTTGAAGATGTTCAAAGTAAAAGTGCGTATTTAACTTCGTAATATGTAAAATTGTGAGTAGTGAATTTAACGAAAGTGGATGCGGTGACTTTCTGATGCATGTGTCCCACTTTAATGAACTAAAAGGGTTAAAACGAGAAAAATTGGGGGTTATGAGTGAAAATTGTGAGGTGTTGGTTGGAGTGTGAGGGTTTGGGAGAGTGGGGAGGAGGTTACTTCGTGGGGGAGTGACCTGAGATGAAATAGTTACAAAAATGTCTAGACTTGTGTTGTAAAGAAATTGTGGGTATTAACGAAAAAATGTGTCTTTCTGATGATGAAAATGTTTTCCCTATGATGTAGGTACTATATCCCCTTATTAACTTGAATGAACTGAAAGTTCGACATGATTCAGCTTGTGTGCGCGTGGTCCTTTCTAGTTCATTTAACTTAATGAGAGGAATACTGACGTCACTGACCGTCGAGTAAACACCCTTCATTAGACCTGTAGTATGCATGCCCCATAGGAGGAGTTCATTTGAATGCTTACCCCCAGAGGGGGGAATCCAAAAAACCTTGATCCAAGGAGATGGAGTCTTGGTATTATCGAGAAATTTTGGGGTGGGAGTGAAAGTGAGAGGGGTAATCCAAAAATTTGATCCAAGGAGATGGAGACTTTGATATTGAGAACCCCATAGGGGGGAGTATCCAAAACTTGTATTATCGAGAAAATTTGGGGATGGGGGGGTGAAAGGAGGGGTACCCAAAAACTTGATCCGAGGAATTGGAGAATTTCGAAAAACTTGATCCGAGGAGATGGAGACTTTCG